AAAAAAAAAAAAAAAAAAAAAAAAAAAAAAAAAAAGACTATTGGCTTCTTCAGGGCAACAGCCCTGCACTTATCTGGTACACAGTAGGCATGCAATGAGTATTTGTTAAATAAATGAATTCACATGAATCCTCGACTTGTCGTATTTTCCTCACTGAGATCAAGAAACTGTTTGCCTCGCAAGTTCAAGGTCCCGAGTTTAATCTCCAGTACAGAAAGAAAAAGAGAGAGAGAGAGAGAGAGAAAGAGAGAGAGAGAGACAGACAGAGAGAGAGAAAGAGGGGGAGAAGGAAGGAAGGAAGGGAAGAAGGGAGGGAGGGAGGGAAGGAGGAAGAGAAAAAAGGAAGAAAGAACGGAAGGAAAGAACAATGAAAGAAACTGCTATGTCCCTCAATTTCAGTGAAACTATATTATTTTGATTTTCATATCCTGTTTCAATCTTCTAATAAAAAGTAATTTGATTCCTCAAAATAAAATGCCATCTCAATGCTACTTGGCTATGAGAAACGTGTAAACACAATATTCGAAATTCATTACACTAAATGTATAATAGCTTCCTTGAGTTCAGGCTGAAAATACAAAAACATACAAATTGAAACAGCAACACTTTTTGGTATTTATCCGGCAATGTCCAATCCCAGACTTTAAACATATCATTCACACTGGAACATAAACACTATAATCTTACTTTGTTCATGACAGACCAGAATTCGACTTATTGCAGTTTTGTTATGGACATTACCCAAGTTCTCCAGAACAAAAAGAGAATCGCCATAAGGTCAACTTAGCCTCAAGAATGTCACACAACATAAAACATGAAGATAATGTAATAATAGCTCTGGATCACTTGTTCAAAAGGAATGGTTACCTACTATAGCTATCACATGTTTGGAATTATAATTAAAGATATTCTCTATAACAAAGGTTAAAAATATTATTTTCAGTAAACACTAAAGTAAAACAAAGTATCAGGCAGTAAGTTTAGAATGTGGCTAAATCTAAGAATGTGTTTCCTAGTTAACATAAAAGAACAAAGTTCCTTTACATTCAACTTCCTAAAGAAAATGAAACAAATATGTAGCTATGGCATAAATTCAAAAGAAGTCACTGAATAGTCACTTAAAAATGGCTTTAAATATTCATATGTAATTTCAAGATTACCAAATGAAGAAATTAAACTCACAGAAAATGTTGACCCACTGTGTGATGTTAGGACAGAATACTCTTCATCACACAGCTTTATTGAGAGCTCCCACTTAGCCAAGTCAGGTTTAACAACAGGAACTCTGAAATGGAAAAAAAGGAGTTAATAATTGTACATTATCTCTTAACAAATTAACTTTCCTTTGGCATTATGTGTGTGGAATAAAACTGCCTAAGAATGTATTTTGGAACATTTTATTTTAAAAGGCTCTACCCTTGGAGAAAAGCTTTCAGATTTAAACTAGAGAGGTTTAGAAACAGCTAAGCCAAAGAAAGCAGCAGTCACTCTGGGATAACTGTGGTATCATCACCTCTTCTCAGTACTATCACTGACTACATTTAGGTTGCTTAACTGTGCCAGTTTACAACAAATTAATCTTCCTTAAGCAATATTAATTTTCTCAATATTTGTCCACTGCTCAAGGCAGTTTTTAAATTACAATTACAATAAACTATAGAGACATCAAATTAATCGCTGAGTATGCATAGAATTTTTTTGTCTTTGTTACTCATAGTTGGTGAGAATAAAATCATATTAAAGAATGATCTCCATGCATTATTCTATTTATAGGATAGAATGTTCCTTCACGAAGTCAGTTAAAAAATCACCTTAGTATATTAGCTGAAATATAAGCACAAGGAAAAAGCAAATCAAAATTAAATGACTTACAAGTCCAATCAATACTAAGTGGTTGATGCTAAATTTTAGGGTATCAAAAAGGAGTCAGATGAGGTCTTTATCTGGGAAACTTATTTATATAGAGTCTATGTCTTTTCTAACCTTGACTTTCCTCAACACTTAAAATCCAAACAAGGCTTCCATATTGCTGACTAATGCTCATCTGACACAGATCTTTTCTGGTGTAAGGTCAGTATTACACTGTTCAGAGAACCCAGGTCAAGCAGCCAGAAATCAAACCAAAAACTCAAGAATACAATGCATCTCCCAAAATCTTGTTTGTTTGTTTGTTGGTACCAGGGATCGAACTCAGGACCCTGCACTTGCAAGGCAGGCAGTGAAACCACTGAGTTAAATCCCCAGTCACCCAAAATATTTTTAAAGTAACAAAAATATAATCATTTCAGAATTGAACTAATTTATATAGTATGTATTTACATTACTTATATTTGTGAAGCTTTTCTTTTCTTTTTCTTTCTTTTTTTTTTAAGGCAGGGTCTCACTATATAATTCAGGTTGGCCTTGAACTCACGGTGATCCTCCATGCCCCACCTTGTGAAGTATTATTTACAAAGCACTAAACATTAGCACTTTGTGGTACCCAGGCTGGAGTTTAAGCCACACTTCTAATGAAGATTACAGGTTGTGTTTTAATTTATGCCACCAAATTTCAAAAGAATTCTGTTCATTAGTATAAAAACTTACAAATTTAATTTTTAAAAACTGTGATTATCAAACTGCCTCCAGTCATTATCTAATACACGATGATTAATAATTTAGGTAAATATGTGTATTTGACTCACTATTTGATCTGTTTCCTGAAGATGAAGAAATATTTTAAACATTATGGATAGAAAAAAATAATAGACAAGTTTCTGGGGTTTTTTTTAAGCATGAAGAATAGCATACACTGTACACATAAGCTTGGAAGATGCTTTCTTGGCAGTCTGAAAAGGATTGTTTCAGAGGCCAGAGCTTCACACAGGTCAGTCTGAACAAACAAGGACTTCAAAGAGCAACACAGGAGAGAGAAGAGGTGAGGAGAAAGAAGATGAGGCATGGCAAACAAAAGCAAGAAAACGCTTCATACACCAATCTTCTCCAGAACCTATACTCCACAGAGCATTTTTGTTCATATGTTTGTCTCCCCTGCTAGCCTGTGAACCCCTGCAAGACCACTGCTGTTTTAAAAAAATTGTGTGTGGGGGGGTGCGAATGAACACAGGGCCTTGCACATGCTAGGCTAGTGCTCTGCCACTGAGCTGCACCCCCAGTGCTTTCCTTATTTTACATCCCCATCTCCCAGCACAGACTGAGGACAAAGGCTGAGAAGCATCTGCTCTGTGCCAGGCCAGATCATTTCCTGAGGTCCATGAACTTCATGTGTCACCTGACCATACATAACCCTTGGTCACCTACAAGAAGCAAAAATACCTGCCCATTCAGGGATATTGTGATGATGGAAACAGACGCAGCTAGGATTATGGTGGGACTCGGCTTTGTCAGATCTTTGCTTTCCATGATAAATATGTGGCTGCCCTTCTCATGATCATTCTATTGTTTTCCGCTTCACACCAAGTTACATCTTACTTAAGCTACCCACCATTCAAGTCACTTAAAGTTATATCTCACTCTTTGTATCCAATTTTATTTCTGCCTGTTCTCTGACTTGACTATCTGGTTGGGCCAGACTCTTAAACCAAACTAACAGGAGGCAGAGGACTAAGGACTCCAGCTCTGCTGAATCACAGAAGTTGGTTCAAAACCCAGTTCTGCCAATACTCCTGACCTCCAGCAAACTATTTAAATCTCAGTTCTTTTACATATCAAATTAGGATAATTAACATCTGCATTAAAAGGGCTGTATTAAGGATTAATTTAAGGCATGTAAGGCATGCTGATTAGTCAAGTCAAGGACTACACTCCTCTCCTCCACCCATAACAGAAACCATTCTCTTTACATTTACAGAACCTGGATTCCCTCTCCCCTCTCTTTCTCCAACATTCTTTAGGGCACTACCTCCTTTTTAATTAGAGCATAAATTCAGTGATCTCTCTCCCACTTAACCTACACTATATGCTGTAATATTTTTCGAAGTGGCTTGAAGGAGGCCACTCTTAAGAGTGAATTTGAGTCCTTTTCAGTGATGTAATCATCCTCTGCTTCCAGAGGTGGGAAGCTGCCGATTCTGACATCCTGTTCCAACCCAGAGGCATTTTCCCACAGAAAGCAGTCTCGCAGATGGTGGTGGAACGCAGCAGCCTGTCTTCAGGACCCAGCTACTATTTATTTTTCCGTTGTTTTATTTTGATCCACATCTGTTTCATATATGTTACAGCTTGCCCCAAGAGGGACCTTATGAAAAGAGTACTCACTTCTAAGTGAAAGCCCTGAGGTCTAAGTTGAAGCCAGTTCTCTTCCCAGCAATGTACCTGACACGTCCTTTGGAACATTACACCTGTAGAGAAATCAGGGCAGAACTAGCCAGGCTAGGAGAAGCTGCGGCTTCTTCTGGGCACATATATCCTGACCAACCTGTACTTTTCTAACAATTTCTTTTAAGGTGCTATGTGAAAAGAATATAGGAAAGAAACTTCACTGTGAAACAAGACCTCAAGATTCTAAGGATTAAAAGCATGGAATGCCTTTATGAATTGTCTCTTACAAACAAAATTTGCTAGGATTACTTCTGGCTTTATATAGGTTTGAAAGTAGTTTTGTTTCACTTTTTAAATAAAATGGGTGGGCAGGTGACAAGCAAAATATAAATATGCTCTGAAGTAGAAATAAACTATAATAAAGTATAAAGATAATAATACATACAAACTTGAAAGTATATATACTCCATTTCTGAAAAAAATCATTGAAAGTACATTAAGTACTTTGAAACAATAAGCATTAACATGTTTATAATAGTAACTACTTCCTACTTCCTAAAGTTGTTGGCAAAAACTAAAGTTATATTTTAAAATTTAGAAAACAACTGTACATATCCGTGAAGTCCAAAGTAAAATTTTTATGACTAATTCTCTGAAAGGATCAGGAGGTTCCAGAACTTCAACTGGCTACAGTAACAATACACAGAATACAGTTCCTTCTGCGTTCCTACCCAAGGCTGCCATCAGACTGAGTTCATTCTCTACAACTTCAGTGTGCTGCCTGTAAAGCTAATCTGTTTTTTGGGGACTTTGTTGCAGTCCTGGGGATCAAACCCAGAACCTTGTACTTGCCAGGCAGGCACTGAGCCACTGAGCTACACATCCCCAACTCTTGCAAAGCTTACATGAAGCTACAACTTCATAAACAAACAAAATCCAAAATAACCCAGTAAAGAATTCACACAAACAGCAACCCACAAGGAAATCAAAAAATAGTTGTTATCCAAGCCTGACCATTTTGTTATCACCCAGCCAGAATGAATATACTCAGTAAAACCCAATATTTCTTTATTTTATGATGAAAAACTGTCAACTGATTGTCATTAATTTTAATACTAATGCATTTAACTTACTGGAACATTGCTATTCCAGTAGATTTTTATCTTCAGTTAGCAAGGATCACCATGATCATCTCAAAGCCATGTTGTCAGGCACTCAGAAAAGCTGGTTTTCAATTTTGACACTATCTACATAGGACTAAAATACTGAGTTGAAACAATGCTAATGGTCAAAGAATAATTAAAAATCACTTCATCATAACTTTCACAGTGGGTGGGCTGAAAACTGATCCAGCATAACATGCTGCATTCCATAGCCACTGAGGTCAGTTCCTGCATACAAATCTTTGCAGGAAGAAAAAGGCCTTCAGAAAGTGGCCCATTCATCTGAACCAAGTTCAGAGAATCTCTAACACAGTGAAAAGCTGTGTTATGCAAGCACAGAGATATATTCAGTGGGGGTAGTCAGAACCAGCTACTACAAAGGAGCCCTCCCATGGCTCATGAATAAGTCGAGGAAATGGTCAGGGTAAAAAAAAAAAAAAGAAAGATGTTTAGACAGATGGCCCACTTAAATGCCTGAGACAAGGCATAAGCAACTTTAATGAAACTTTAGATCTAGTATATGAATTGTTTCTTATTTCTCCCCAAGTGGGGGGGAAAATAAACAACTCCAAGGAAGACAAAAATTCAGCAATTTGCTAAAAAACTCACTTTCAGCAAGTTTGGAGGACAAGTCACAAATGCTTGTTTTAATAGTACAATGAATTCATGTAAAATTCTTCACAGAACCATGAGCTATCAAGATGAATACAAAAAGCATGGAATGAACAGTTTAAAGAAACTTTACACACAAGTCTACTGCCAAACCAAACAAAGACAAAAGCAGAATTTTCAGGGAACCCCTTCAAAAGCTAGAAATTGACATAGAGAAGGATGAGAATTCCGCCTATATGTAAGTTTAAAT